TTTTTGTATAATATTATATATCATTTAAATTATTAATTTTTTTATTTATTTGAGATTTATAATATTAAATATATTTATTTATTTAATGACATATAAAAATTGTATAAAAAATAATACAAAAAAAATTATCCTTATATCAACACCTTTATTCATTTTGGGTTTTAGTTGTGGAAAACTTCAATTCGATTACATGGGATTTACGTCCCTTTAACATTTTTTTGACTAATTTTTATTTTAAGTAAGAGTAAACACAACCTAAGAAAAATAATTATAAAAATGACAAAATCTAACTCTATATTTAAGTTCTGTTTATATGATTGTAATTTTGGATTTTTCGTTTTTATTTTTTTATATATTTAGTAAATGGTAATATATTTAAATTAAATTTAAATTTTTATAATAAATTTTGAATTCTAAATATATAAAAAATAAGAACTCAAAACTCAAAACCACAATAATAGTAAATGTAACATTCATTTTGTAAGTGGTGTGCTTTAAATAACTAGGTTTTTTGTGTTTTATTATTCTAAAAATATATTAGAAATTTATTAAAATTAATAAAAGTGTATAAAAAGTCAAGTAATTAAAATTAATTAAGAATAATATATTTATATTTTTAAATAAAGTAATTTTTTTTTTTATGGAAAATTTTCTGTACCAATAATATGATGCCCTCCATAAATCATTGTTGTTAATTTTCAAATCTAACAGTTGAAAAAAACCGTGTTATATTTAACAATATATCTAATGATTCCATTGTTGATTTTTAAATCCAACAATTAAGATACATTACTAAATATGGAATCATAATTTCAATCATTAGACTTGCAACTTACATGTATGGAAGCAAGTAGTTGACTGTTTCTACATAGAAATTTAAGCTGTAATAACTAAGGCCTAAATAATGTGTCATGCTTTGAATGTTTAATTAAGAACTCAAGAGAGAGGAGAAAGGACTCCAAAGAAATTATGAATTTTCATGATGTTGGAAACCATATTGAGCAGAGTCAAAAATTCTACTAAGAAGATATTATATGATGTTAAAAAAAACTATAATTTAGCAATAAACTAAAGAGATCAAGATCCAAAACACAACGAAAAGGCATTTCCACATGAGTTTTTAAAAGGGAAAAAAGACAACATGAAAGAAGTAGTTCTCCATAAAAATGCAGGGACAGTAGTGCATCTTCCCTATGCATTGGTGGCCCTAGTATAAATCTGCTGACTAGCATGGGCAGATATCATCCTAATGGAACCTCTTGCCATCAGATCCTTGATTGCTTTCCGTGCAAGGGAGCCATTGATCTGGAACAGATTGTAAATAATAATCTTAGAAAAACAAAGTTATTGACTAAAACAAATAGAGAAGGGTAGTGACATAGAGACAACATTTTCGTACAACATTTCAATACAATTTTCACATGTTATTAAATGACTAAATGTACTCAACATCATGAGTTCCAAATGAATAAAAAAAGCCAATTATTTAAATGACACAAAAAGTTGTCCCTGAATCACTTTCTAAACAAGATTGCATATATGAACATGAGAAAACCAACAAAACGCACAAATCTCAGGGAAAAACACTCAACATGGCATGCCTCAGCTGCATATAGTAAACAAACATGAAAAGAATTCTGCATCCCCTATGAACTGAAGTCACCGAACCACAACCATATTCCACTTGGGAAAAAGATGCATGATAAATAGGGGCTATTTCTCGAAAGAAAGTCAATTAAATTCACCACAAATAACCTCACCATCTTACAAGCAAAGAAGGATAAATACAATTTAGACACACAGCCAATTAAACTGAGAATTAAAATTGCTCAACAGAGTAACACCTAACTAAATTACAATGGAAATTTTGGTTTTGAAAGTGAATTACCCTCAATCTGTCAGACAGAACAGAAGGAGTGATGAGCTTGTACTTGGGAACTTCACTAAGCAATTTGTCATAAGTAGCCTGATCAAACAATACCATGTTGTTCACCTTCTCCTTTTGTTTTCCTTTGCTCCATTTCTACACATAAAGAGGCCAAGCCAATTTCAACAACTACCCATATAGAATGTCCACATCAATAACTAGTAGCAGTTGATTAGCATTAATGAGACCATCAAATCCGAAATGGGTATTGCTATAAAACACACACTTAATCCATAGTTCAAGCTTTACCTTCTTCTTCTGCTTCCCTCCGCCAGATTTGGCGGGCTTCGAAGCTGATGGAGGAGCCTTATCCTTCTTCGGTGCCTGTGAAACAAAAACACAAAGACTATGTAACCATTACAGTCACAACATTTCAACTACCTCTTGTCTGCCGAGAAACTCAAAAACTCTCTCTCTTTGTATTTCCCAGAAATCAAACAGAGAATCAAAATTTCCAAGACTAAATAACAAAGGAAAAGCTTCCGTTTCGTACCATGAGGGGCTCGAGAGCGAGTGCTAGGGTTTTGTCTGAGTCGCAGAAGATGAAGGCATCTAGTACTGAATTGTTAGATTAGGGTTTTAGACTTTGAGCTAGGATAATATCCTATTGTTTGTTAATAAGAGCACGATTATACTTCCATCGGACAAGTTAATTCCTCCTCGGTTTATTGACTTTTTTTCCTCTTTTTTTTTTTTTAAGCAATTGTAATTATTTACGTATTAATTTAGGAAAGAAAGGAAAGGATTTTATGGAAGGTAAATCATCCTAGATTCCTAATCCAAAAGTCTAATATTATTGTACCAAAACAGACTATTTTGGTTTATTGACTTTCTTAAATGAATTTGTCTAATTTATTTAATTATTCTTAAAGAGGATAATTAATTTTTCCTTGCGTAACGAACCATTTGATTCGGCTGGGAAGAAAAATTCCTTGCGTTTCAATAAAAGTTAGGTTCTCCTTTTAATTTCCAATTTATTTTAAATTATAAAATATAAAGTTTTATATAAAAGAAGAAAACACAATAACAAAATTTTATTTTTTAATTTAAATTTAAAATTAATAATTTAAAATATAAGTACCTAAATTTTATAATTCAATAGATATATATCTCATTATAAAGTAAATCCAACCTTAGAGGTAATTAAAATTTGAATTCCCCTTTTCAAAATTCTAATATGTTCAAAAAACAATAATTTAAAAGGCAAAACAAGTTTTCAATAAAAATATTCCTCAATATCTTATCTCTGAAATTGGTGGCAATATTGGGATACCTTAGACAATATAATGGTTAGTCGGGACAATAATTTGCGTAGGGGAACGGCAAGAGGATATTGCTTTATGCGGCTCACTATTTTTTATTATTATTATTTTTTTGACAAGGGTAATGATTAAGAAATTATTGTGAATTAGTTGTTAACAACTGGTTCTCAGACCGGGTGAACATACATTCCACCTTTTCAAATGAGATGCGTAACCATCAAATCACTTTTTTGTAGAGTTTACGATGATAGTGGAGGTCGAATACCACCTCACCAAAATACTTAAAACTTAGAATCAAACCATTAGGCCTGAAGACCAAATTCGGCCCACTGTTTTGAATTCCCACCACAATATATTCTATTCCATGATATAAAATTTTTGTTATATTCTATTTTGCTGCTTTTGAAATAAAAGATTAAACACAATCTTCTTCTTCTCTACTTTTGTCAAAGATTGTAGAGTATATAAGCATTAACAATTTCACATACTGAGACAATGAGAGGAATGTGTGAAGAGTAGTAGTTTAGAAGCCTTTTTCTTTCTTTCTTTCTTTCTTTCTTTTACACGGGATGTTATGAAAAATGGAAATGAAATTTCACCTCCTTCTGCTCTTCTTCCTCCTTCACCTGTCTTCTGCTTCCTCTTCGTCATCCCTGCTTGGGAGGGAGAAGAACTTGCCTTCGGGTACTCTTCATTTTTTTTTTTTTTTTTACATATGAGCATTTTTTTTTTTTTTTTGCACTTTCATGATAAAAAATAATAATAATCCCGCAAAATCCAATTCACTTGTCAGGTTTTGTTCTGATAACCTTTGATAATTAATGTAATTTCCTTTTCAAAGGTGCAGGGGTTGGCATGGCTGGTAGTGCTGGTGCCGATGATGATGACAAAAACAAGATGGCACTCGGCAGCAACATTAGTCGGATTTCACTCTCAAATTTTAAAGGATCGACTGCTGGTGAATCAGGATATCATGGAGGATCAGCATCCAATGGAGAACACGGTGAACATCAATCACCAAATGGACAAGGAGGCTCAGCAGTTATCCCTATCTATGGTGCAGGTGCTGCAAATCTGCACCGCGGACACCACCATGGCACAGCCGGCCGAAACCGTATCTGCATAGGGCTTTCCCTATCATCCACTGCCCTGGCCTTGGCAGTCATACAACTATATATTTGATGATAAAACTGGAAAGTGGAGATAACATCAGTATGTATAAGAAACAAGTTTTGTTTTGTTCTGTTTTTTTTTTTTTTTTGGTATAAAATGTACTATTCTGTACACCAAAGCAACAGTTGCTGTTACAATCAATGTATGACTGCAGTTTTTAGGAATATCCTACTGCTAAGATTGCATTGGTAGCTGTATAATGCCTTCTAGCCCTCATGGCACTGCTACAGACATGGGCAGTGATCAAGATTTTGGCTTTGCAAGGCCCAAGACCTTATTTCTAACATCAAAATGAACGTTATTTACAACCTGCAAAACAGCTTGGAAATGTAGCCTATGGACTCTGTTATTTCTCTCCCTCCAGACATAATAAACTGTAGCACTCCAGGCCAGTTTAACAAGGATACAGTACAGTATAAGAAACAAGTTAAGTGCATGTATAGATTAAAAGACTAGGTTAGATTTATTCATGGGAATCTTCCCGGTAACTCAGTGTGGACGCCTTAATGTAAACTTAATTGTATAGGACTTGTGCTGATAATGTTATTTCCTTTTGTTAAAGTTCAATGATTAAGTGTTGAAATCATAATACTCAGTACAATAAATAACTTCATTAATGTGACTCCATAAAACTGCATCATATAGTCATACAAGCTACACATAATATTGATATGTGAAGTTACAAGAATGCACAATAAGAGAGCCATTAATCTGGGTCTAGATTTAAGGATACCAATCATTCACCAACAAAGTCATCAAACCTATACTTAAAAATGAGTTAGTTGCTCAAGTTTGCGAGCCTGGAAAAACTTACATCGCCCTTTGGCACTAGATTCAATTTCTTCAGTCTTCCTCTTTGAAGAGGTGAAACCAACATTGCTTAGCTTCAACTGCCGCTTGCCACTGCTATTGCTACCACCATCTTCATCCGTTTTATCAGATTCCCTAGAGAATGCAAAGAAAAAAGGGATTACAACAAGCTTCAACGGTTAAATATTTTATTTTGCATCATTTATATACAGGGATAAAGTGAGAAATTCATCTCTATGCCCCTAGTTGTGCGTATCATTTCAAATATGTTCTCCAACCACAAAATAACAGGGTCAGCTAGAGTGGCTAGATATTTATTTTCACCATAATGCAACCCCCACATTGACTCGCCAACCATGATGAACCAGTCAACTAAATGAAACAATTTATTAAGAATTAACATTCATAAAAAGTGAATATTAAGAAAAAAGGAAAATCCAAAGTCATTTTATTATCAGAATTTGAGGAGGTTATTTATAATCATATGGGTAACATTTAGTCAAGTTAGAAACTAAAAATCTACTAGACCATAAGTTCCAGCTTGCAGGTACTCTCAATCTCAATCTTGAGCTAGCAATATGTTAACTTAAAAGTTTTGACCATAGCAAAGGACCAATTATGCTTGAACAACTTTTTTTAGCAATAAATTACCATAAATGCCTCATTAAAACCTAGGGCAACCACATTTTGATAATGGAATATGAATGTAATAATAATAATAATAGTAATAATAATAATAATAGTAATAATAATAATAATAATAATAATAATAATAAAATAAAAAAAGGAAAACAAGGACATGCAGAACCATCTTAAATAAAAACTGAAGAGAAACTTTTGAGTGTTGTAAGGACTGACCACAAAACATCAACCATATCTTTGGAATAGGAAGTACATGTGCCCCAACTGAAGCGTACCAATGTTGGGAATCCAAATACTGAGTGTTTATGATGATCCAACCAGGCCTTAGTATCAGGATCTAGACACAACAAAATATGACTACCCTCTAGTCAAATATCATTCTTGAATTTAAATCTACAAAGAAAGAAAAAATAAAGGTTGAAAGCTTAAAACCTCCAGGGTATCCAGAACCGAATTTCCTATGCATGTTCTCAGCTGTTTCCTCAAGCACCCACTCTTGCAAGGCTCGGTCTCTTGTTACCTGTAAAGTTGAATGAAAAGTAAAACAAGCAATTTTGATGATTTAAAAAAAGAAGTTTTTGGATAAGGCAGCTACTTACCTTTGCTACTATACTTGCTCCACTGACAACTGGGTAAAGACTATCAGCCTTCTTTGCAACAACAAATTTGATAGAAGGAAACCTTTCAGACAATTTGATTCTATACTTGTCAGCATCTCCTACTGTATCAAGATAAACCTGAAACAAACAGATGCAAATGTCTTCCCATAAGCTGATGCCCCAAAGTAGGTTCATGAATTAAAAAACTAAGTATGACCACTTCAGTTACAGGGCTGTAAGGATGCAAAACCATACACCATTGTCAGCTTTGTTATTCTAGATAAGCAGCTTTGCATGATCTTAATAAACGATTCTTAAAGGGGTAACTAAAATAGTAGACATCTTATAAAGGGATAGTTCAGTTCATTAGAAAGAGCTTCACCTCAGTCAAAAGAACTCCCATGCCTAATACTCTAGTAATGAGACCAATCGCGGAGTCATGGGATATCTCATTTAGGTTTATCTTGTTTCTGATGACAAAAAATCACAACAAATCTTGTAAGAAGATGATAAGTGCATGAAAGAAATGGTAATGTTTGGAAAGAAATGTAGTATTTGTTCATTACAAACCTCTTTAGCATTTTGGATGAGAGCTCCCTCGGATCTATGACATCAACAGCCCAACGTAAGGACTCATCAGCCTTTAAATTCTCAAATAATTCCTCCCTTTTCTCTTCTTTGAGAGTCTTTGAATCTGGAGATCACAAAAGCAACAAACCTCAGAATTTGAGGAAACATATTCACAAATTCATAATTCAACTTTCAATCTCACTAAGGAAAGGAATTTCCAAAATTTTAAAAAGGAAAAAAAAAAAGAGTTTGAGGGGTCAGACCTGCGAAGTTCAAGGTAGCGAGTGTGTCCTGATAAGAGCGTGCACAGTAGAGGCATCCGTACACCATGGGTCCTGAAGAAACAGACAAAATCCCAGAATAATTCTTAGAAATCGGGATTGGTGGCGTTGAATCTAAAACCTGGGAAACCAAAGAAAAAGATGAAGATCGGAGTGGTGGAAAGACGAGAGCAACCTAGCACAGGGCCGCGACCGGCTTCGTCGATGCCCATAATGCAAGGCTCTGTCGCCCATTCGGGGAGAGGAGCTTCCGATACCATTTCTAACACTCTGTATCGCCACAAAAACCCTCCGCACTCCGCACACCGCACTCCACTTTTTATCTGCTGACTCCCGCCACAAATGATGAGCTTTCCGCCCTTTGCCTCTTTTTTTAACCTTTTTCGTTTGGCATTTCCCCCTCCTTTTTTTTTTCTAATAAGAACGCGTAGGATAATACTATTTTTAATATTAGCTGCTGTGTGAATAGTAAAATTCCTACCATAGATTCTTTGATTTAAATCAAATTTTGGAATCAATCTACAAATAGGAAAATTTTTTGGTTCTACGAAATTAAGATTTTTGAAATGTCTTAATTTAATTTGATAAAAATTTCTCCAGTCTATTTCTTACAAACAAATTAAACACAAATATATTAAAAAATTTAAAATACTTTAAAAAAGGTCAAAATTATACATCTCGTGTAGTATAATGAATTAAATATCTACCCAATCAACCCACATGATGAATGGGAATATAATGCACTCTTGATAATAGACAAACCTATTATCTTATTAAAATCACACAAAATTTATTTAATTTGATTGATAAAAGTCTAAACTCAAATAAAAAAATTAAAAGAAAAATTTTGTGCATTGTATCAACATATACAGTCTTAAAATACAATAGAAGGTCCAGTAAAAGATTTCCTTGAATTTTGAAACAATATGACAAAAACTCTGACTTATTGATTTCCCTGTTCTTGTAGCCGTCAGATATATCTTCTTCTGACCACAACAGGCACAAAACATGACAACATCAGCAAGATTGACAAACGGCGAATCAAACACTAATCATCTAGTTGCATCATTTGTATTTGCCTTAAAGAAAGAAAAATTAGCACCAAAGCACTTTATTACCAGTATTTACAAATGCATGTGTTCGACATATATGACTTGACAATCATCTGAATAGAGGAGTGGAGGCTATCTGCTCTTGGTCACTGCATTTCATGAAAATGTCCAAGTACTGCATAGCTTCCTTGGGGAGGAGGCCTTCAAGGAAGAAGTCAAACAAATTTGAATGGGTAGCCTTCATTGAATCATAACATTGACCCAGTATCACCTTTTGTTGTTCCTCGTTCAGGTCAGTTGCTTCTATCAATGGCAGCAAATCTTTCTCTTCGTCTTCAAAGTGTTGTTTGCAATGCTTCTGGTAATAGGCATGCAGAAGGAAACACATCAACTCCGATCCATATCATACTTGAAAAGTATAATGGAAATCACGCATAGAATAGAATCAATGATAAAGCCTTTCCGCTGCAGATTTCAATAAACTAAATTTTGAATTGTATATACCTGTAATGATTTGAGCCGCATTGCAAGGGTGCACATTGCCTCCTTGTAGGTAGCGCTCCCATACTCCATAACTCCAATAGATTTGATGTCTTCTTTGATGCCATTCATGATGGGTAGGTCCCTTGCATGTTCTTCATTTGCAGCTTTGCATATTCCTGCATCATCATGACTTGTTAGAATAATTCCAGCAGCAGTTGCTCCAAGGACAAGCAACTTCAGTTCTACTTCCCACAGAAAAGATTAAAGATTCAAATCTACCTTTTGATTTCGTTTCTTATAAAATACTTTGATAGCTTATGTTTTGTTGTAAAAAAGAAGCAATAGCATGGGACATACCGGTACTTAAATAGTTAAATATTGAAATTTGAAAGTTAAGTAAACGCTAAATTCTTGGTTCTTAGATTATGAAATGCAAGACATAATATTACTAACCAATTATCTTTTCTTTTCTACTATGCTCTTGTTTGATAGAAGGTTGTCTAATAAAAAGCTAACAAACAAACTACGTTGGCAAACGTGACCATTCAGTAACGATCAGGCAAGAGATTAATATCAATGCCTGAACTTGCTTGTCTAGTAACAGTCAAGTAAACAGAAGAAAATTACAGTTAGATTGCCAGCACAATGGGAAGAACAACAGGAACAACAAATAAAAACAGTATATTACCTAAAGTATGAACCAAGATTAGGAGAACAATAGCTAAAACAATCAAGAAAACGAGGACAAACATATGCTCTATCTTGCACACAAAGTTCATTCAAAGCCCTCTACGG